CACATCCCCCTTAGGAGGTGTGCAGGAGGCAGCTGGTTCGATGTTTCCTCTCATTGATGTTTCCAACTCTCTATCTCTCTCCCTTCCTCTCTGTAAAAAATCAATAAAATATAAAAAAAAAAACAAGAAACAAAAACATGTCTTAAGCAACCAGTTCCTGAATCCACAATCCACACAAGACAGGGACTATCATCAGATGACTTAAAATCAGCTGTCTAATCGTGTTGTCCAGTAGAGTGGCCAGTTAACATTTTATACACCTATCGAGATATCATTCACATACTATTACTGAATTTGTTTCTCAGAATTTTCCATATTCAGCATCATATCATCTGCAAATATAAATAGTTTTACATCTTCTTTTCCAATCTAGTTGCCTTTTATTTCTTTTTCTTGCCTAATGCTCTCATTAGAACCTCTAGTACAATTAGCATATGAGATGAGACCAAACATCATTATCTTGTCCTTGGTTTTAGAGAAATTTTTCTGACTTTTACCACTGACTACCATTGTAATATCTGCTGGGGGGGGGGGGGGTTGTTTTTGTTTTTTAGATGTTTATCAGGTTGAGAAGGTTTCTTTTTAAAATCTCCCAAGTTGTTGCCTGGCCTGTCTGGCTCAGTGGTTGAGCATCGACCTATGAATCAGAAGGTCGTGGTTCAATTCTCCACAATAGGCTCCCCATCCTGGAGCACCAGTGCCAGAAAGAGGAGTCCCCACAACATCCTGCTGTGAAAATCAGCAGGGATTCTGTGTGGATGAGGTGGAGGCTGCTAGAGATTCAGGTGTCCTCCTAGGGCCAGAGCACAGTCTCACTAGCTCCCACCCCTTGCCCTAAATAGCATCAAGGGGACAGTAGATTGAAAAGAGCATCAGGGACAAAGAGGGAGGAACTGAATTGTCTGGCTTCAGAGTGAGAGCTAGGGGAGCAGCTTTCTCTCTGACAGAAGTGCTGGCAGAGGCCATTGTTACAGTGTTTTATGGACCTTTATGGATCTGCACTGACCACACAGAATTCCTGCTCATTTTCACATCAGGAGGTTATGGGGACTTCTCTTTCTGGCACTGGTGCTCCAAGATGGGGAGCCTATTGTGGGGACTTGAACCCCAACCTCCTGGTTCATAGGTCGATGCCAGGAACATCTGTCCCAAGCCCT